GGATAATACAATACATAACAAACCTGGAGAGCCTGTTAATACACGCTGTGCAGAGGCTCCACCCAATCACCAGATGATGATACTTGACAAATATAACGCTAATGTCAAGATTACAGAGGCTCCACCCAATCACCAGATATTTTTTTGTTCCGAGAAGTGGCAGGTCGATGGCTTGATTTCCGGCAGGGGGTGTGTTCAAAGGTCTTACAGCAAATTCCTGTTCATATTCCCAACCAATATCGCAAAATTACCGACAAGGAAGTTCTAAGTTATGCAATGTTGGCTAAGGTCATCAAAACATTGATGTAATAATAGCGAATATTAAATTCACTTTATTTCTGAGTTGCCATCTTTCTTAACTAAAGTGAAGTCGTTTCGCAGAAATCTTAGTCATGTGTACGAACCAACACCCCGGAATGATTATCAGCGCCATCGTTAATCAATTGACAAAGGAACAACTCTAAATGAAAAGCACGAATGTTCGTACGTATTTCGATATTTCTTTCAAAAGAGGGCCAGGTTATAGTGTTTTCCAGCAAGATCAGACGAATTGCATTGATCTGAAAAGGCGCCTCAATAAAGCCTTTATTGAGGCGCCTTTTCAGATCAATGCAATTCGTCTGATCTTGCTGGAAAACACTATAACCTGGCCCTCTTTTGAAAGAAATATCGAAATACGTACGAACATTCGTGCTTTTCATTTAGAGTTGTTCCTTTGTCAATTGATTAACGATGGCGCTGATAATCATTCCGGGGTGTTGGTTCGTACACATGACTAAGATTTCTGCGAAACGACTTCACTTTAGTTAAGAAAGATGGCAACTCAGAAATAAAGTGAATTTAATATTCGCTATTATTACATCAATGTTTTGATGGGTACGTGCCGCGGAGGAGGTGAGATAAAAATTCAAGAAAACAAATCTCGTGAACGGGCTTGAAAAACGGATAATACAATACATAACAAACCTGGAGAGCCTGTTAAATGCACGCTGTGCCTGCTTCCCAATTATTTGGTGCTGCTTTCTAGCAAGTTAAATTGTTTTCCGCGTCTCCAAAGCATCAAAAAAATCTTCTTTACAATTTTGATTTGTTTCCATAAAAAGTTAGGAAGTAAGGACCCGTGCACATTTGTGTTCCGCTGTTTCTCCACGAAAAGTACTTTCGTTTTGAGAGGCCGGAAGTGTCACACATCTCTAAAGCAGATGTTATAAATGCAAAATTGCACTTGGTGATGGAAACTTTGTGTCGCTAAAAAAGTGATGACTCAAAAAATTTTGAAAAAGTTACTTAAATCTTCACAGCTGTCAATGTAAATTTGCGCTAACCTTTTCCATCCTTTTTCCTCTTTGTCTCTTGTTGCCTCTTCAGAGTTTGTTTGCCACTCACGTCAAACTAATTTCGTCGCATTTTGTTCCAACTGAACAAAGTTATCCTTAAACAACTGATCAAATGTGATTTCTTTTTCCTTCGTAAACCAAATTATGTTCATTCAAGATGATTTTTGTGCTTAATCTAGCATCTTTTTATTTTTGTATTTGAATATTCCATTATTACAACATTGCAGCTTTTGGTAATTGTACGACAAACTTTCTGGAGCAGTGTGTCCACACTCGCTCCTCTCTCTCTCTCGATCTAAACATTAGCGGGAAACATTATTTTACTTTCAAATACTGTGATGAGTAACTTCTTAACTAAGGAAGTCGTATAATTTGCAAAGACGCAGGAAGTGAAAGCTACAATTAGGAAAATAAAGCAGAATGACTTGGCACAAATGAGCGATCTTCTCTTCTTCTTACCGGCCGCAACTGACTATAAAATATTTAATTACGGAAAGTAAAGTTTGCATGTGACGCGCTTGTATGGCAGTTACAAGTTACGAACCCTCTAGAGGGTCAAAACGGATGAACCGTTCACAGTCAATAAAACAAAAAAGGAACCGTATCTATCGCTAAAAACACGATTTAAGTGTTTGCAATGAAGGGGAATATATAAGTTTGATAAGTTTTGCCCAGCCAATTGGCATCAGGTCACGGCGCCCACATCAAAACAACGAAATTAAGTCATTTAGGAGAAAGTTTGCAGTCATGTGTAAAAACCACTGACTACCAAAAATTAGCGCCTATATAAGTGGATCGTCATAGGAACGACTCTACACAAGTAAAAGCGAAAATATCTGCACGTATTCTATTTCTACAAGAGTGTAGAGGGTCACCGAGGTTAATTTAAGTCGTGGTCGGCAAGATCAGTCATATTACATCCATTTGAAAAGAAGTCTCGATCGATTTCAATAAAGCGGTGCTTGCAAAAGACATGGTGAGGTAAAAATTTAGGAAAAATGCATTAAAAACTATCGAAAAGCTAATACTAGATTACACAATAGAACTGAAATACTCATTGATGTTCGCTCGCTTGCTTGCGTTTAACTACTATCCAGCAAATTATCACATATCCGGGGTAGTCAAAACAAACTACTTTACCATCTCGTTTTGTTTATTTAAAAAGGCGGGAAGTTAGTATCTGTGCATCCGCTGTTCTTTTACGAAAATTGCTTTGTTTTTAATAGCAAGTTTCGTGTATTACCGAGGTAGATATTCAAAATGCAAAATTGCGCGCGCGAGTGATACCCGGCCTGTTTTATCAAAGAAGCGCTGATTCAAAAATCTTCCAAATCGTAGTTTCAAGTCTGTCATTGCAATCGGTGCTTAACTTGTCCATCCCATTCTCCTTTGTTTTTTTTGTCTTCTTGCATCTCTAACAATGCTTGTTTACCTTGTTAAAACTATTGTCTTTGAAATATATAAATCTGTTGGTTTTGACCAGATATACGCACAGGAAATAAAAGCTCTCTCGAAAACTAGTGTGTTGTTCATTTGTATAGTAAGCGAAAACTTCATTCTTTTACAAAGTGGGGACTAAGAAATGGGTCGATTCTTCACATCGTTGCGATAAACAGTCTTACTTCAAATTCAGCTTAGTTGACTATACTGCAACTAAAGCGTTTAACGCTTTACTTATATCAATATGTTGAACACTACAAAGCTACAAAGTGCTTCAGGCTGCTGATATTGGCTAAAGTCATCAAAAAAAAAACCTCCCGAGTTAATTTTTTTGATTAGCGTGCGTGATTTCCATCTGGTTTTCTAAATCTTCCGGTTTATTTGCGTGCCTAGAATCTGTCGCAGCGATTATGATTACCATGTTAACTCCGCCAGAAATCCGTGACAGCATGGCCGCCACGCACGCGCATCGATGTCGAACTCGGTCTTAGGTTACAAACGAGTCGCAAAATCACTACAAGGAAAACAGTGCGCTTTCAGCTAACCTTCTTTTAATAATTGCTCCTGTGTTACAACCGCCAGAGGAGACAAGTTCTTCCAGATCGCAAAATAAAGTGGATTATATGTACAACCTTTCGCTGCGTGATCTGTGTGCATTTGCATGTGTTAAAGCGGTTCCCGAAGCAATTTTTGTTGGACGTAGAAATCCTCGCACTCCGCCATACATTTTCTTAATAACTGTCCGAAGGTAGCATAAATTGTCGAAAATCAACCCACTTCACGGGTTCACAGGAATGTTCTTCCAGATCGAACTGGTTTGTTCACATGCTAAACTTCATTTATAGTGCAAAAATAGGAGCCATTGAAGCCACTAAATCGGTTCCAAACTTGGTGGAAAAACGGCCCAAATACTGCTAAATAGTTCTCAATGTGACGCCATTTTTAAAACCCAAGAAAAATTTCGGGAAAACGCCATGTTTTTAGTCGACCGTCAACCGTAGTTTCTGGCCCCTTCGTCCTCCATCTTGAATCCCAAAATGCTTTACTTGACCTATGTAACCGTGCCTTTAATAAATTGTGCAATGGCGTTACACAATATCCGAAAATTTGCAAGTAAAATGAGCGACGAATTTAGTCAATGTTGCTCGCGTTTTAAGGATGCAATCAAATTCACTCAACCGGAATTAAGATATGAGGCGAGGGAAAAAGAGAAAAGAGTGCTTTTTACTTTGGAAATTCCTTATCCTCTTTTTAGAGAATGGCATAAAACTGTTCAAGAACGAAACGTTCTGTCGCGTGACACTTCCGGTCAAGATTTGTCAAGCGGATGTGAAGAGATAGAGGCAAATTCTCCTTCTACAAGCGCAGCAGAAAACTCACCCACGGCAAAAAGGTTCAGCTACATAGATTTGGTGGAAAAGTGCACATTCGGGCAATGCTTTGCCTTTAGCGATGATGAAAATATACGAGATGGAATCGATGAAGCTTTGTTAAATATTGCTTATAAAATTTCATTAGATTACAAAAAAACTAAGGGCAGGGCAAGAAAAGAGTTGGATAATCGAGTCCGAAAGTTTCATGTTATGGAGGGTCAAACAAAACCTGTACATGAACTCTATCAAGAAATTGAAAACATACAAAATGAGCTACAAGATTGGAAAAAGGCCTATGAAGATTTAGAGTTGGAGAAGGAAAGAATCTATGAGGAAATGGTGCTGGCAGTGAACCAAAAGGAAAATGAAACCCAAGTTTTGCAGAAAACAAACAAAGAGCTTGAAGATTATATTGCATCATTGGAAAATTCTGTGGGAGTTAGTTCATACCAGGGAAAACCTCTTTCAACTGTGAAAAATAAGTTCAGGACCTTGAAAACTTTTATTTCACGAGCCGAAGCTGCTCTCTGGTTCTGCTCTTCCTTTGGTGTTGAACTAGTTGGGTTAACTGTCAAAGAATCAGACAGTGATGTGGTTCACAACATAACAAGTAAACCCAACTGTCAAGATTTACCCACTCAAGCAGGAGAAAGAAAGTATAGTACCTTGTCCACACATGAAAAAGAGAATGTTGAAAAAATCCTTTTCTTACTGGACAAATTTTGTGTGGGGGATTCATTTTACCATGAAATTTCCATGATCACTGATAGTCTACCAAGGTCCTACTTGGTCAAACAATGCCGTGATCAACTGAACAAAATGAGCAAAATTGAACCTCTAAATGCTAAGTTTGAAGGGGCCAAAGTAACTTCCGCTGAAACAGTGTTTAAAATACATATCTCTGATTTCCTGAAGCAAAACAGTGACTTTGACCCCATCAATGATAAAATCAAAATCAAAATCAATGGTGATGGTGCCAGAATGACAAGAAATTCAAATTTTATTTTACTTTCATTTTCCATTCTGCAAACAGAGGAGTCCGTAATGTCTGCAAAAGGAAACAGAACTCTTGGCATAGTCAATGGAACTGAGAGTTACCACACAATAAAAGAGTCATTCCAGAGTTTATTCAATGAGGTAAATGACTTGACTGCCAAAGGTAAAATGAATGTGGATGGCCAAGAGATTCAAACTGAATTATATCTTGGTGGTGATTATAAATTTATTTTACTGATGCTTGGACTGAAGGGGGCAACATCTAATTATGCTTGTGCCTGGTGTAAAACACACAAAAATGATCGCTGGAGAATCAACAATGACTATACAAGTTATAACACTCCCCCCTTAGCAAGAACACTGAAAGAAATGTTTGAAATGTCTAAAAAATCCAGAGATAATTACTGTTGTGATAAACAACCTATACTAAATATACCACTGGATCGTATAGTGGTAGACGAGCTGCACTTAATGCTGAGAATCACAGATATTTTGATTGGAAATCTAGTGCAGGAGTGCCTTGACTGGGATAAAGATGATGACTTAGACCATAAAAAGGGGGCAGCAACAGGATTACACCTAAAAAGCCTTATTAGGGTAATCAAATCTTGTGGTGTTTCTTTTGATGTGTGGGAACAAAGAAATGCAGATGGGAAAGGTAGCGGGAAACATGACTGGACAAGTCTCCTTGGAAAAGACAAAAAGATCCTTTTAGCTGACCTTCCCAGTAAGCTACATAGCATTCTCCACCCAGAAACAGCATCAACTGTGGTTGCAGTCTGGACAGAGTTTGCAGAAATTTACAAAGTTGTCAATGACTGGAACCCTGAGAAAAACCCCACAGAATTTTTCATGAAAGCCAAAGAGTGGATTTCTCTTTTTGTCAGTCTAAATGGCAAAAGAGAAGGCTATGAGAAAGCCAGAGTTACCCCATACATGCACATTATGGTAGCACACATTCCCAAGTTCTTTGAGCTCCACCACTCAGTCAAAATATTTACAGGGCAAGGAGTTGAAAAGAACAATGATGTAGCACGTGCAATAATTCTGAGAAAGTCCAACAAGTGGGATTCTGCAGGAGATGTTCTGCGACAAGAGCAACGTCAGTGGGAGCTTAAAGAACACGAGCGGGAAGTACGCAATTACATGAAGCGCAAGGAGAGCTACTGGGATGTTGAAATTAAAGAAAACCGAAAAAAGGCACGAGTAAATTTAAGTCAAGATCCTCTCCAGCAATCTATTGAAGCTCAAAATGAACATCCCCTCCCTGAGTCCACTACCACTGACACTAGCTGTTCTCATATGACAGTGAAGCAATTGAAAGAAGAATTAAAGAAGAGAAATGCGAGAGGATTCAGCAACAAAACCAAGGCTGAACTAATTAAACAACTGGAGGAAATTTGTCAATGAGAAAATATGGAATATTTAGTATTCTGGGAGCATGAAATGGCTTTAGTTACTCTAAGGGGGGACTCCCTTACACATTCAAAATTATATAAACAAACTCACATGAAAAGCTACATGACAAGCAAAGAGTGCAGTGAAAACACATCAACTCAACAAAATTATAATTAAATTTGTAAATAAAAGCAATTTCAAGCAAATTCATACTGCGGATTAAGCCTAGGGTTATTAGATAGGGGCCATGTATATTTTGTACATTCAACTCACTTGTTGGTCATATTCTTATCAGCTTTTGTGTTCAGGTGGAACCCCTACAGTCCCTAAAGCCATTACAGTTAATTTCAATTTCACTTTCTGTTTATAATATCTATGATTGAATAGTTACAGGTTGGCGACTGAAATCAATTGATAGTTTCTCAATTAACATTCTCTGATCTTCTTGAATTTTCCCATTTATAATAGAATATGTTTTTGGTGATTTTGCTAAAAACAATCTAATTTTAAATGGATATTTAACCCTTACCCCATCCCCATTACAATCAATAACCCTATCCCAGTTTTCTGGTAAATCACATTTTTTAAAATCATCCTTATCTAACAAAGTATACCCCTTCTCCCTTCCCTCCCTTCCTTTACCATAAAACAAAAAACGAAAACAATCATGATCAAAGTCCAAAATAGCATTAGACCTTGATTTACTCCTTAATTTAAAGAGGACTGATAATCTCAGATTATCAACGTTTCGAGTTAGCCTCTCTTTATCAACAATTGGCTTGTCATAAGTTCTGTAAGAAAAATAATGAAAATGGAAACATAAGAGGGGTTGTCTATGAACAAGTAATACTCAAAGCAATGCAAAGGCAGAAGAAAAAGAAAAGCAGCAATCACTGCGTGTATTATTGGTGAAAAAAAATTAGTTAAGTATAAAACTTTCTATGAATGAGCTTATACGAGTGCATCTCTCTTGTTAATTCCGTATTTCAGCATGTTCAATTGTAATGGTAATTTAAGTACAGTTTGAAAAAATGATACAACAATAAATACCTAATAAGATCGGTAGTCAAGTTATCTTCATCTTCCCAACTATTATGAAACGCGCTGTATCCCTTCCATTTCACCAAATATTGAACCTGAAGATTTTAATTATAAAACTTTAGCATGTAAGAAAATTAATGACATACATCGTAGACCAGGGCAAATTGTGAACTCACCGTTCCATGTGATGTCCTCCTCGAGATTAACCTTTCCACGGCAAAATAATCAGAAGAAACATTAGCTTTCCTTTTTCTACTTTTTTTTTCATCCCAAAGAAGGTCCGCAGAAGAAACATTGTGTAATTGAAGAAATAAACCGCGGCTATTCTTGCTCGAATCCCTTACGCCGCTCGCCATAATTTGCTGTATGTAATCTGATGCAAGAACGCATGCGTAGTAGGAATTTTTTTGGATACACGAGCCCCCGTTTCAAACCGCTGACTGTCACAGATTTCTGGCCATGCTTTGCTTGTCTCTGCTACTGAGGGAAAATTTTTTCCAAAACGGAAATGTTGGAACGGAATAATTTGCAGTTTTTGTAAGTGTTATTTACAGGGCCTCATATGGTGGCCAATTGCCTGTTACCACTGAACCTGCTTAAACAGGTTTTGTTATCGGGATGCTGTCGGTTTGACCGAGTGGATAAACAGGAATAACAGGAGAATCGTTTCCTCTGATTTCATCGCAGAAAGTACAACTACAGTTGTTCGAAAATGCCGACTATGGAGGATTAAAAGGGTATGAAGTATTTATTCTATACTCGAGATTTAATAATTTTAAGAGGATAAACATGAACAAGAAAATGAAGAAAAAGGGAGGGGAAAAAATATGAGTCCCTAGACAGACTTTTTACCTCAGACCTAACAAATTCAGTTCGCGGTCGGTTGCTAGTTCGTGTCAAGCATCACAACTTTGATCTCAAACTTCTCAGGTAATGCGCTACGCAATAGGTTAAATGCTACAAACTGATGTCATTTGGAATTCTGTGTTGTTTATCAGTCTCACTGTAAAAGTAGTTATTTGTAAAGCTCTTTTTATAGGACTTCAGGGCAAGCTGCGAGAATTTGACGAATTGTTTTCCTCAAGGTGCCTTGTGTGATCACGGTAGAAGAAGACTCAGAGCCTTGGCAGGGTTTTTACTGAAGTTCAGTTTCAGGGTGACGCAGCATGCCTGGTGCCTGATAGTTACCTTAATGTCAACGCTATGGGACTCAAAAGTGTAGTGAAGAGCTTTATGAGGGCTCCCGTAGGATAGTCCTTCTAAATTGTGTATTTATCTTCCTCACGGTGCTAGTTCGTTCGTGGTTTAACTTTTGCGCTCGCGGTGTTAAAGGAAATTTGCCAAGAACTTTTTCCTGTAAAACCTGTGGGGGGAACGTTTTTTTTTTAAACGACAAATTTTTCTTGGCAAGCAAATTTTGTGCCTCACAAACTATTCCGCGTTCAGAAATGTTTATGTCACCCTTTTCTTGAATCTTTCTTGTTTAAACGTGCCTTATGGTTTATAATGCATGAGCAAGGTAAAAGAAAGACGTTTAGTTTCTCCTAACATATCAACGGCAAACAGCATGCTATTTTTACATTAAAAATCTTTCCTCTGTCTTTGATAACGTTGTACTTCGGGGGGGCTTATGTAAGCATGGTTGATGTTAAGATGCCAGTGTTAATGTAAAGAAATTTTTTCAATGAACACAAATCAGTTAAATAAGAACAGCAAAACTGTGCTATGATACTGAGTCGTAGCTCTTCAGTTGTAAACCTCACGTTCCTTTTGGTAATCATGATGTAAAATACATGTTATTTTGAAATTTGAATTCTTTTAATGCTTTTTTTTTCTTTTACTACTAATTTGTTTTTGTCTGTTTGAATTACAGCATAGACATTCTTTGAAGGTTTATGAAAGGCCTGAGTTCGGGGAAGTTGAAAAGCTAATAAAAATTGCTGTCTTTGTTGTCTCCTCTTCATGAGGAATGAATTCTTTCTGTTCGCGAATGATAAACAATTGAAGCACATCGTTCTCCGATGAAGTTTTGCAAAGAAGCGCCCATTTCAAACTGATAAACGAACTGAAGCACAGTCTGTAGACCCCTCTGTTTATCTGTTAGGACCAGGGGGCACATTCTTCTGGATATTTCAATCCTCTCACGGTTTGCACGAAAAGACTTCAATAGTTTGCCAACAATACTGATGTTCTTTTAATATCATTTCCACAGTTGTTCTCGGAAAGTTGTGAGGACTTGACCAGCAACCTTCCAGTGGGTGCCTCGTCCTTTGTGGTTTGTCCGCATTCTGAACGTTGGCAAGTTTTCACCGAAGTAAAATACGGTGGAGTTACAACTACGTTAGAACCTGAAAAATTCTTTAGGAAAAACGAGCGCTGCAGCTCCAAGATCCCATCAAGAGCATTCGCAAGCTCCTTTCCAATTAGACATACATATTTGTTTCATTCAATAAAGGATTTTGGTGTCTTCGCAACTGAGGAAACAGTGTTGAACACAATAGAAAAAATGATTCAGTTTTGTGAGAGCAAAAATGTACAGTTCTATACATTTGTACATCTGATGACCCTTCTGTAAATTTGCAATGAAAGTAACTCGGTGCTCTGGCGATGTAAAAAAGTCACCTATTCGGTAATAATTTTGAAAAACGGAAAAACATTCCTTTCCGATATCGTAAAAAAAGGTTGTGGCTTATAAGCACAGTGAATACAGTGACTACGTCGTGAGACAAAAATTAATACTTCTTCTTTGTAAAGACTGTAATTGATTGATAACCCCTCAACTGGTCTGTGATTAAAACAGTTCAGTTGTGAGGGTTTGTCATTTAGACGAGGCTTGAAATCAATACTGAGAGCGTTACCTCTCTGAGTTTATAAGAAGCTAGCTTTGGAGGATTCACAGGCTTTTGTTTTGACCCTTTGACCTCTTAGAGTGACTAGAATCTAATTTCTCCTTACAATATCTCCCCTGAATCAAACATTAAGGTTATGAGAATAAAGGAAATGATCACCAACTAAATGTGTTCTCAAATTGTTAAACAAATTCTTCTTGTCAGCACCTTAAGAAATAAGTAGAGAACAGTATGGAGAATATGCATACTGATGTTAGGGTGTAAAGGGCTAAATTAGGCAAATTATGTACGTATACTTCACGCCAGGTATGACAAGATTGAAACCATCCTATTAACCATTCTACGGAACGGCAAAGACATGCCATCCATCTAAATTCCTAACTCCTATCACCGCTTCCCGAAGTATACCCTGAGTGGACTAACTGTCTGTTCGCATAATCTTTGATTTAGACTCTGGAAACCTGGATCATTTTCAGTTACATATGATGTTTAACTTGACGGTCGTAGGTCAAGTTGCGTTTTCCGTCATTTGCGCGGGAAATAGGAGAAACTCTTTAACCAGGGTTACAACGAGATCGTAACCTGGCGAAAGAATGTATTTCTTGTGCCGTATGGGAAAATATGGAGGGACTTCATCGATTAAGTAACACGTTGTAGATTAATGAATAGAATAACGACTTGGAAAATAGGCGCGCACCCCTGAAAGCCGCTCTTGTACTCATGGCTGTGAGCCTCCAAAAGCCAAGCCCGAGGTCTTAGACAAAAGACCACCAAGATACGTTGTCTAAGTACCTATAGAGAGGGCAGAATTGATAATCCGTTACAGGGGGAATTATTCAAGATAGTATTAGAAAAATCAAGTGATCGAACTCCCCTGACAGACCTAAGGTTTTTGCTAAGCTCGTCCATGAAGGCCCGATCAACTCAACGTTGCGTTTCCTGAGTGAATCGTCTAGCGGTGGTGTGATAGCGCTAAAAGACGAGGCATATGACGTAGATTAGACAGAAACATCTCAATCCACAACTAGCAAAACTAGCCACTTAACTCTTTGGGCCTATCGATGACAACTGAGATTCCATAATCCGTGTACTCATAGATCAACGGCGATATGGTCAGTAAGT